TCTTTATTATCATTTGTTTTTTTTTTCTTTTACTAAGGATAATTTATCACCAGATCAAATGAGATTAATAGATTTTTGTTTGTTTTAGTAGTTAAAATATGCAAACGCAAATTGTTGTGTTGGTTGCAAGTGATAATGGAGTTGAAATTTTCCAGAAGCACTATCATCTCAACATGTATGTTTTGAAGAATAATGGTACACAACAACTGTTGAAAACGGAAAGTACTGATTTTCTCCCGCGATGTGTAAAGCTGACTGTTGAATTCGAAGAAGTTCATGGTACAAGACCAAGTAATGAACGATTATTTCGTCTGATTGCTGAATTAGTGGACGCGGTCGATTCAAGTGAAAAAAAATTGGTTAGTGATAAGTGTGCGTTTGGAAATGTAAACTTTGGTCGATTATTTACAATTGGAATGCGTGAACCACGTGATAAACAAGCAACAACATCATTTACATCAAAAAATGTAAAAAAGGAAAAGAAAAAAAAAGATGCAGATTAAATGTTATGTTTATATTTAACAAGTATAAAAGTCGTCTTGAACTCTGCCAGGTATGTAGTAAATAAAAAAAAGTTTCTGTGTTATTCTAAGTTGAATTTATTTTTTATTTTAGGCACCATCTAACTATTATGTTGTTGTATTTTTTTTTTGTTAGTGTTTGTTTTTATCTGTCTGGCAGCCAGTACGGCATTAGAAAAAAAGAAAATATTAAATAAGAAAGAACAGAAAAAAATATATTTATTACTTATATTTCATATAAAGACAACAAATAACATGCAATTGAAATGTTTGTATTTTTTTTTCGATTAGATTCATTATTTTATTACTCAATCAATTTGCATCCGGTTTTGTATTTTCTACTTATAGTTTGGTAATTATTTTAGCACTTGAATTAACATCAACTACATATACAGGTTTAGCTGGAAATTTAATATTTATTTCATGGACAATTGGTCAAGTTATTGTTACTCTATTTGCGTTTATAACACTTGATTGGCAAAAATTAAAATGGGCTAATACAGCTTTTATTGGTTTAGGAATACCTTATCTTTATTTTATGCCAGAATCACCATTATATATTTATGCTAAAGGACAATATGTTTCACTTGAAAATATTCTAAAACGAATAGCAACTCAAAATGGACGAAAAGAAACTGATTGGTATTCATATTATCAAGAATTCTTACGTAATCAACCGAAAAGATTATCACAAACAAGTGAATCAACATATTCTCAAAATTCTTATCTATTACTTATCAATCGAACAACTATAATTAAATTAATATTAACAGCTACTATAGGTTTTACAACACTTATGATTTATTTTAAAATAAGTTGTGATTTATTTTAAAATAAGTTATGGTTTAGCTATGATGGATACTTCACCATATTTAGGAATATTATTTGGTGCTATTGTTGAAACAATCAGTTATATAACAAGTTCTTTACTTATTTCTAGTAGACTTGGTCGAAAAGGTTCATTTATTTTAATGATGAGTCTTACAATTATTTGTATTATTCTTATTCCAATTATTGTAAAATATAATTCAATTGCAAGTCTTGGTTTAGCTCAACTTGGAAAATATACAATATCTAGTACAACTGCAATTGCATGGATATTTGTACCAGAACTTTTTCCAACTTCAATTCGAAGTATTGCTAATGGAGTTTTTATTGTATTTAGTCGTCTTGGTGCTATAACAGCACCAATTATTTATACAACAATAAGTAAAAATTATTTATCATATACATTTTATGTATCAGCAGTTTTAGCATTTGTTGTTTTATTATTTTCATTAATGTTACCCGAAACAAAAGATAAACCAATGGATGATATAATAGATTATACTACAAGTATAACTGATGTTTAATAATAATCTCTTGTATCTAGGTTTTTTGTTTTTCTTTTCTTTATACATAAAAGTTTGCACTCATACAGAATAAAAGGAAAAAGAAAAAAAAAGCACACCTGTACGCTGTTCTTGTTTCACATATGGCCTCAAAAAAAAAAAAAAACAAAAGAAAAGAAAAACATAAACAAATGTTATGCTGCATCCATCAGTATAGATGTAGTTGAGAGAGCGCAAAGAACAGAAAAAAAAAACACCGACAAAAACAAACACAAATAAACGATCTGACTAAAAGACCACAAAGACACACCGAGATCTAATTCACCGTTTTTTTTTCTTCTTTTTTTCAAAATATATAAGACACGAGAAAAACTTTCTTTTTTTTTTTTGAAAACAAACAAACACAAAGAAAACTAAAGAGCAATATGAAGACACACTTTGTTTGTTCAGATATTTTTTTGTTTTATCAAAACTAATCACTGCTCAATGGTTTGAAAACGAGAAAAAAATTATATATATATATATATGTATAACCAAAACGAAAAAAAAAACAAACAAACATATGTACATTAAAATTTGAAAGAGATAAAATGTTTTATTCACTTATTTCAATCAATATTTCGACTTCGTTTTGTAACTGTCAATGATGTCATGTTATTATTAGTTCGACGATGATTTTTACGATGAGCACGACATGCTCGTTCAGTTGTAAATGTCTACAAAAACAAACACAAACATAATACTTAACATATTTCAATATTATTATTATTTTACTTGTAAACATTCATCAATATCACAGGAAAATTGAGTAGCAGGAGAACTATCACTATTCACTGTTGAACCACCATCATCATCCTAAACAAAAAGCTCTTAGCACAATTCTCGCGAGATTAAAATGTGAAACATAAAGTAGTTGTTGTTAACTATAGGAAGATTGTTTTACCATCCCGTTTACTTAGTTCTAACAAAATGTTATTGATATATGGTCTGTGATTATCACTTATACAGCCAGCCGGGTTCAAAATTTTCAGAATCGAACTCGATGAGCTATAGTCATCTGTTGGAGAGGATCCAAAATTTTACACTCTATACTTCAACACTCCTTTTTAGATCGTATTTCATAAAATATAATAATTTAAATATAAGAACATACAAAACGAAATTCACTAAATGATGATGATGATGAGATTTCATCATCCAATTGTTGTTGTTGTGCTTTCGTCATTTGAAATCGTTTTCGTCTAGTCATAACAGAACTTGTTCTTGTTGATACTATTTTTCGAGCAGTTATACTAATTTTTGGCATATAATGAAATTCAATACATTGTTTTACACTCTTTGTTCCAACCTTCAAAATAACGAAGTCAAAATATAAATATTCGCTAAAACAAAAGAAATTAACATACTGCTCGACTAACAAGTTCAAAATTTTTTTCTGATGTTTGTATAGCTTTTGTAAAAGCATTAATTTCTTCTTTTGTCCATTTATTACAATCAAGAAAATGATAATTATGTAATG